GCGCCAATGTTGCAATGGACTTGCTGATGCAGCGCAAGTCCAACAACCCCATTTCCACAATCCTCCTGATCAGCGACTCATCCACTTCCGACCCCGAAAGTGTCGATTTCGTGGTGTCTAGGGCCGAAGCTGCCAAGTGAGTTCCTCCATCACCAGAGATCAAGACCATAGATGACTGACTATTTTCAGAGTGAGTATTCACTCGTTCGGCCTTGGACTGACTCACAAGCCCGACACAATGATCGAGTTGTCCACTCGGACAAAAGGCTCGTACTTGTACGTCAAAGATTGGATGATGCTTCGAGAATGTGTTGCCGGCTGCTTGGGCGCACTGCAAACCACTTCGCACCAGAACGTCAAACTGAAGCTTCGTCTCCCTGAGGGTTCGCCTGCGAAATTTGTTAAGATTAGCGGCGCTCTCCATACGACCAAGCGCGCTACAGGCAGAGATGCCGAGGCCGCTCTCGGAGATCTGCGATTTGGGGACAAGCGTGACGTGCTGGTACAGTTGGTCATCCAACCGGACAACTCCACACAGGAAAGCATGCCGCAGGACCCCTGGGAAAGCCTGGTGTCTGGATTGGAAGCTCTCGGAGGTGGCTCCGATGCAGACGAGCAACGCGTGCTGAGCGTTGAGGAGGTTCCTTTGATCCAGGCGGATCTCACTTACGGTGATCTCCTCCGTGATGGCCACCTGACGCACTCGCCTCGCCCGTCATTGCTTACCGTGCCCATGCTTCCATCCAATCCGAGGGCCAAGAATGGTAGACCTTCGACACCACCCATTCCTCCTCACCCGTCAATCGTCCAGCGGCGTATGGAGTTGCTCACCTCCGACATGCTGACCCGAGCCTTGACACTTGTGACTCGGGGTCAACATGATCGCGCACAGCATCTCTTGACCGAAACACGAAGCATTCTCAAGGGTCTCGGTAAGGGTAGCCTTCCACCGCTACCGCCAGGTGCTGTAAAGCCGGCCAGTCTCAGCGACGCCGGAAGTCGCGGCGAAACTCCCACATCGACCTCGCCGAGATCCTCCAACTTCACCGAGGGTCAGTCGTCTGTTACATCAGATACTGCAACTATTGCCCCTGTTGCTGCAGTCGACGCACAGGCCATTACAGCGTTGGATGCGGACTTGACGTCGGCAATGGAGTGGATCAATCACCCTGCCGTGTTTGGGCGAGACTCGCGCAAGGCCGTTCTGCAGGCCATTGGCGTCATCTCGTCGCAGCGCGCTTACACATATCGTACGCCATCCGAGGCTCACTGGGCGCAGCGAGTCGCGGGGATCCGACGATTGACTGAGCGGTCAAAAGAGTGGCGCGAGACCGGAGACGACGCCTTGACAGAGGAGTAGTCAGTTATTTGGATTATTCTCTCTTCTTCTTGGTTTACCTTTCCCCTTATTCTACTGTTGATTATTCACTTACCCCTTGTTCAACCCCATTTTACCTAATATTCGTTCTTCTCTCTGGTTACCCGGCTGAGTTGGCAGGCTTTTTCTTGTTATGATACCACTTTGTTCGACAATGACGGCGCAGCATGATACCACGGATTTCCCCAGTTTATATCACCTTGTCTGCATCTGACATTTTTTTCTATGACGTATATATCTGTTTATAAATCACCTAATCATGCTTTCTAATGTTATTTGGTCAGCGGCCGGCGTGGGATCTTGGATATGGATGACCTGTACATTCTCAGCGGCGGGAGGTTAGTCATTCTCCATCACACCTTTGCCTTCGGTCTTGTTCTTCAAAATGGTTACCTTTTGAATGTCCCATGATAACATGCATTTGATTTTATATCTGTAAAGAAGGTTTCTGAAATAATCCAGTGGAGTAACCCAAGACTCCCAAGCCCCCGTTAAAACTCGTGGGCTGCTCATTGTTCATCTCCATCAGTATAGAAGAATGGCGTCAAGTCTTCATTGCTGCAATAGACAACCTGAAGGGCATCCAGCCAGCTATTCGTGGGAGACTACATCACAAGTAGCAGAGAAAAGGACCACGGCCTACAACATGCGAGCGGCACGCCCGAAGTCAAATGATGCGCGACAGCTCGAGAGTGGATGTAGTGTAGAATAGGTAGAAACCGCCAGGGTATGTATTTACCAAGACGTATTGAATTGTACCAAACGATACAACCCAAGTATGTGATCACGTCCTCCATTGCACTGAGGATTCTCAAGTCGTACAGAAGCGCTGTGCAGGTGCTGATGATTCTATAATTATCTATAACCTATAAACAGGAGAAATGACAAGCGGCAGGGCTACGATCTGATTGAGTGAAAGCACGAAAGAAAACTAGACGGAAAGTGGTGGTCGTGTCAGGCCAACGACCTGATCCAATAACAGCACATGCCCGAGCAATTGTCACTTTCGTGAAGAACTATCCATCCCAAAGGAAGCACCGAAGCAGGGTGATCTCAAGTGCTAAATGATTAACCTGCATATATGCAGGATAAGAATAGAACTCTGCGATGCGCCGGAGAGTTCTGATGGTGCGTATGTAGATTGTGTTGACATGAAAATGTCGGTCTACTTTGCTGTGCTTGGTCAATCGGGTGTTTCAAGGTTGATAGCAGAGACCCCCTGGCGCAGGGGAGGACATCTCATTCAGCCAGTGAGAGAGGCTGATTGGTATGACTAGCTTTGGATAGGGTTCGGGCAGCGTTACGCTCTTTCTGCACTTGCAGTCGTAACTTGGATCCTTCTTTCCATGATGATATTGGGGTATGGAGTACTTCGTGATTGTCTACCTGGAGGTGCCGTTCATGATGGATAATACCAAAGATTGAAGCTTCAATCAAGAAGAGGGGAAATCCAAAGCACTGCTTCTTGCTGTCGGTTTTTATTTCTTAAATGGACTGTTTATGTTGCCCTGTGTAGTAATATGCCCAATACATAAGAGGTGAGGTGAGGTTGATGATCCAAAAATAGCCCGTGTCAGGATCCCTGTCCCCGCGGTAGTCCCGATTGACCGTGCAACCGGACCCCTAAAAAAAGAACACTGCAGCCGCGACCAATACAGCCGCGGACCCGGATTGGCTGGGTTGGCCTGGGGAAATGTGTAAGGCCATCGGTGGGCAAAATTAGATCGACTCGAACTTTTATCTGTGATAGTCTTTCATTAACTTGATTGGGTTGCTTCTTAACCACAGCGTTTAAATATGCAGATCTCATTGTGTGTTAATTCGTTGGGTTAGAGGGTTTCTTTTTATAGACTTGCTGCATTATGATCCTAAAATCTCATGCTTATGAGCTCATCATGGGCTTTTTTGCGCAAGGCCTCTTATAGGGATAGTTCAAGTGCCAAGTCAATTGGCATAGCAAGATGGTCGAGTTGCCACCGTATACTCTTATACTACTAGGAGGATGGTACGTTTAAGAATCAAGGCTCGACGAAAGACAGGCGTCTCTGAATCAAACCTTCAAAATTTCTTGAAGAAGCATAAACTCCAGATGACCGGCGCTTAGAAAGGTGTTCTTGTGCATGCCATCACGTTAGCGCTAGGCTCTTTGTATGGATCCTGACAGTCCTAAAATAGATCCTCAGTTGACTAACTCAATTCATGCAATGAGTATCCTGATATGTAGGGCCTCTGAACCTTCATTTTATAGCATCTCGCCGACATGAATGAACAACATTGTATTCAAGCAAGAAACTAGAACCAGTTGTAGGGTGCCTCCTCGCAATCAGTGTGCGGAATGAGGATCTCTGAGCACTGTAGACTGCTACCCAACACACTGCAACTATACACACACTAGATAAGATGTTTCACCGCCAATAGAAGCATTCGATGTCCTGCAGACCTTTCAGGCGCTTCCCCGCAAAAGCGCATATCATACGGGAGATTAAACTTGAGATAGAAGCGTTATTAGGGAGCTATCCATGAAACCCGTGCCAGAATACGCTGATCTACACGATATGATTGGACCGTATATGTTTGATTGGCTCTCGTTAGAGGTCCCACGGTGGATGGTTTCGGGACACATTTGCACTTGGGTCTTTTGTGTTGATCTAAGGGTGTAGAAGACCGTATTTGAAGTTTGAAATCGCTGTGACCATGGCGGGAAATGAACCATAGCCTGAGAGTACCGCGCGCTTTGGATAAACGAAGGATATATTGGCCCCCAAACGCAAAAAACAATCGCCAGGAACAGGGAATGAAGGATAGAGTAGGAGTTAGGACTATCTGAGACGTGATTCGGCCGCGCGCAAAAGTGATTGATGAACGTCAAGCCCTTTGCTGTACGTCCTCTGTCGGTTTCAACATGAGCTGTGGGGGCAAAGATCCAAAGTGGATAGTAGTATAAATTCATCGCAAACCCGTTTGATCATTGAACTTCCAATTGCTAAGCTTATGCGTTGGAAATTGTCCACAAGCCAAGTACGGTCATCTTGGGTGAACAGCTGGGCTGATTGACCGCCTCGGAAGAGAGACCGGTATACCATTTTCTGATCAGGACGATCCTGCCCTGCGCCACTTGGCAATCCTTTTTACCATCGCACCAAAACCGAGCAGGCTGTGCAAGAGCTTGAGCGTCGAGAAAACAACCAGATAGGCCGGGATCCCTAAATCTGGTCTTTCTTTAGCAGTTTGGCCTTGTACGTGTGGATCAAGTGGCGTTGCTATTTTGGCCAACTGAGCAGGCTAACTTATTGTGGTTTGATCTAGTACGTGGTGTATTTATACTGTCTCGTACAGCATTATTTACGCAATCTTACAACATCATCATCGGTCTACTATAGAAACAGCACCTCCATCCAGTCTCTATCGCCAGATCATTGAGACGCTATTTTCTGGAGTTATTACTCACTAGTGGAGAGTCATCCCAGGAAGAAATTCTTTCTATCACTAATTTCATCACTACACCTCCTCGCCAGCATTTGCCTCTACAATCATCCATACATTTGACCAGATATCAGAGCATCCCAAGCCTCATACCAACCTCTTGCTGCATTCTCTACCTCCTTTTCTGCTCTTCGACACAATGATGGCTCCCAAGCCGGGCCTGCCACCATGCATGGCAAAAGACCTGACCTTTCCCTCCGAGCTGCGTGAGCCACACAGCACAAGATACCTCGACGCCAGCATAGCAGACAAGAAACATGAACCCAGCGAAGACCAAACAGAAACCATCACACCTCCTCCAGCGTACACCGAGTTCCTCGGCACATTCAGCCCCATATTCACCTCCTCTACAGACTCGCGTGCCAGTTTTGCAAAGTACATGCTCGACAAGCCCCGCCGTTCACCAACATCAGCGCCGTCCAGCGCAATCAGCTCCTCGTTCTTCTGCAGCACCACCCCCAGCAGCCGCAAATGCACGCCAGTGACGCTTCCTCCCCTCACACCTGCAACTCCTTGCTCCGCAACGGCAAGGAGCCCAGACCATCTCCGGCGGCTGCGAATCCCGCCGCCGTATCACGTCTCGTCTGCGTCGGCGATTGCAACGCCGCGCAGCGCGCAGTCGCTGTACTCGCCGTACTCGCCGCCGGAGTGGACGGTCCGTCGGGTTGAGTCGCCAGTTAGCCAGAACGGGGAGGTCAGTGTACGGCATGTGGTGACGACGACGATTACGTTCAAGCGTGCGCCGCGGCTTGAGCCGCCGCCTCCTGGGAAGAGGAGGCGGAATGCAACCCACGCTCCGAGAGAGACATAATCACAGTGATGAATTATCGCTTAGCTGGATCACGTTTTCCCTATGTTGTTGGGGTCGCATGTCTATCAGGTTGATGATTGATCATGTTGGATTCTATACTACGTTGTGATTCTACAAGCGTGGGTTTCCTTTGTTTCGGTCTTGTCTGTTAGAGTACCTCTATTTCTGATCCTAGCGTTGTGGTATTAGGGGCGACTGCATATGACGGAGTTTGTCATGTATGGATAGGTAGCGCAGAATGGCACACGAGTGGATGTGTATGGTGGTATTCTCATCTTTCCTCCATACAGCGTCTGAGCATATCTTGACCGTTGGTTATAGTAGTAAATATAGAACTGGGCGACTAACATATAATGGATAGCCATGTTCCTTAGTACAACTGGCAAAAGCCCAGAGGCTAGAGCATACGGATAAACATGAATCAATCCTGGGACTGAATCCTGAAGGATCAGTTCCACATGATGCGCAGAACCCCCATGGCCATGCTCAGCCAATACAACAGCAGGCAAGAACCAACACAGAACCAACATACATGTGACCTGACTCATACGTAACTCCATTTACAACAGTTTGGAAGCAAGACTAGGTATGATTAGGGGCTCGAGCCTCCTTTGACAAAATATATCCAGCAGCCGTCTGATACCTGGCTATCACACGGTGTCCTTGCTCGTCCTTGTCAAGGCATAAAATGGTAATCTTGCTCTCAGTTTACTCCGTACAATTTCAGACTTCAGGAAGTTAATTAGAAACATCAACAAATGGTATTCAGCCTATGCCCTCGAAATAATAAAATCAACCAGATAGCCACACGCCATGAATTTTGAGTGTAAGGAGTGAATAAGAAGGGTAAAATCTCTGTAGTCGATTCAGCGACCACTAATAAGAAATAGAATGTAAATTAACAGGTAAGGAGGGTATAGAAGATCATAAGTATGGAGAAGAAGAAGAGAAATAAAGAGAAGAAGGGTGAAGAAAAGTGAAAAAAAATGTGAAAGAAGAATAAGAATAAATGTGACGAAGTCACATAGAAGAGAATAGAAGAGAAGAACATGGCAAGAGGAGAAAAGGAGGTCAAAGAAGAGAAGCTGTACGACAAAGGGCAGAAGTAGCTGAATAAACAGAGCATTGGAAACATAACATCATGATGCATACGAGAGCTCATCAAGATTGTAAGCCATGAGACGCTGCCACGTTGATTCCGAGTATCCGGTCCGTCGTAAAGTCGCAGTTCTCTTGTAAACAGCTTACATCAACAAGTAATCCCACTTCTTGCGTTTCATCAACTCTCGCCAACGAATTGGTTGCTCCGAGGGCTGCTGCTCTGAGCTCGCACTATTCTGGCCGATATTGCGACTCCCCGTACTGGCCGATGGTGAAGTCAATGGGTCACTGGAGAGTTTCCAGAGCTCCTGAAGCACCCGGTACATTCGTCCGAAGCTGCCGAAACTTCCCAGATATCCCATCGCCGCGATTCTGTCAGTCAAGATCTTGCGGAACCCGCTGTATGGTACTGAGTGAGCGCCTGCAATGAATAGTGGCCACACAAGAGAGCGATCAAACCCCTGGGCCCCTGGTGGCAAGCATTGCAGGATCTCCCCAACAGCCGCTACTAGCACGATGTTATTCTGGTCGTATAGGCCAAAGCCAGGCATGAGACTGTAAAGATATATGCGCGCGGCGGTGCGAAATAACGCCGTGATAACCTTTGTCAACTGATCGGGTTGGACGACCCCGGAGGGTGAATACGGTACATCGAGCGTTCGCTCCGCTGGCTCGGTCCAGTCAAGCTGTGCGCTCAGCGCAGAGACGTGCTGACATACCGCCATATCGTCGATTCGTCCTTCGATCTTGAGTGACTCCAAACAAGCAATCTCCGAAATCAGATACATGATGCGATCATCGCAGCCCATAACTTGCTGTAGACCGGATGCAGTGCCGCTGAGATGCTTGGTGCGGTAGGTGTGAGCAAAATGCGGAGTCTGTCCCAGCATTGTGGCGCCCAGAATATCAATCCATGTGATAAGAGATACACTGAACTGGGTCGGCGCGCAGGTTGGCTTGCTGACGAGATTGGACACAGCTTTAAAATGCGTGTTCCACGGGATATCCGGCAGATAATCATCCGGCTCGCCGACAGAGCAGTGGTAAAAGATCATGGCCAGCGTTGCATCCAAAACGTGCTCATGGCTTGGTCCATCGCTCAATGCCCGACAGAGTTGCGAGATTGCTTCATAACGATGTCGCATAATGTCGTGGTCCATCTCATCCGTCAATCCCCGGCTTGTCTTGAGGTGAATGGCAGACACACTGAGACAACAGTGGAGGTATGATAGATTGTTCTGCAGGCAGTTGAGAATTTCTCCAGCACGGACAAGAAAGGTCTGTTGGTGAGCTTCAACAATAGGAAAGACTAGCCGGAGGACGTTATCCAAGAAGTGATTGAGAAGTGACCGATCGTTATCATCTAGGGAAACTGTGGTCTGCAGGTACGAGGATAATGGCCGGTCTGGAAAGACTAGCGCCGCAGGGCTCATAGGGCTGTAATTTGGGGTCCTGGTGGCATAGCTTGGAAAGCAGGCTTCAGAAGGTAACTCCGGAATAGTGGAGTAAGGCTGTTGTGGGATAGGAATCAGAGAATTGAATGCCGACAGAGAAGCATTATTTGCGAGAGACGCGCCGTTGAGAAGAGTTTCCTGATTAGTTCTGACATCGAATTCGTATGGAGTGACCGGTGTCATTAGCGACGTTGTCAACGGGTTGTACTGCTCGACCCAGAGCGGGCGGTTAAAGTCGTACTCCACAGCAACCGTCGCAGGTTTCTGAGTGAGTTGACGGATTCGTTCCATGTATTCTGGGCGCACAAGGGTGTCAAGACAGTGACAGGTGCTGTTTCGTATGCTCAACGTACCTTGCAGAGACCCATGCTTCTCCATTGTCTTTGTCTGTCGAATTCGATCTTTGATTCTCTCTTTCTGCACGCGCCGTTGGTCGACGCTGATCCACCACAGAGGTGGCTTGTAGTCGCATTTCAATCCCAGCTTCGTGCATGCCTGGCAAGACGGACGGGTCTCGTCACACTTCTTTCTTCTGACCCGACAGGTGTAGCAGCCTGTTCAAACATATTAACACAGAGATAATTGATGAAAGGGAAGAAAGGAGCCTTCGCTGAAAGAGAGCATGGCTATTCTAATGGACATTTACCTGAGCGGGAGCGTCTGTATGACTTGCTCTTCGAGTCCTCCGCCGGGTCGTCGACGGCAGGAATGCTCAAGGCAGTCATGCTTGCAGCGGCAGGATGGGCCATGGTCGACGGAGCGTAGGACGACATGGTGACACTTGAGTCCTGATGGAAGGGAGTTGCAACTATCATGAAGCAGCGAAGATACTTGATCAAGGCTTGGTCGACGGCAATAAGCTCTCATATGATTGACAGTTGACCTGAAGACGAATGCACCATTGAACTGAAGAGGTACTTGCACGACAGAACCGCAGTATATGCTGTCATCTGAAGCAGCAATGTTTCAGAAGACGAGGTCGAAGCAATGCAGGACCAAGAGGGTCTTTATGAAGACATGCCGTGATGATATCTGAAGGATGAAGGCATCATCCTCAAACAAGAATCCATGCAACCCCATGCTTCTATTTTTTGCCATCCCAGGGGTCAGAAGAACGAGCATGATGTTTCAAGTTCTGATAGAACATGAGTGGAGACTGGATGAAGCTAGACAGCAAATCAGTGACGACCGAAGGAGGGAATGTAGTAGAAAGTAGGAGTGTGATAGACTGATGAAGGCGTTGAAAGACATAGAGCTTAGGAGGAGAAAGTAGTAGTTCGGCGCTGATCTAGTCGCCTAGTGATAGATTAGATTGCTAGACGCGCTGATGGCTGCAGGGATTAGCCTGTCTTGGGCGGATATGTTCCTGTCAGGGTCTGCCATTTCTCTCCTAGCGCGGTCTTGTGGCCGGCTGCAGTCGAATACTGATTGGTTGTCTTGCATGGATTTATCTTAATTATGCACTACCTTTTTGCACAAATACCTTATTATTACTCCTGTACTTCTTTTCTCCTATGATGCTCTGAACTTCTATTTCTCCACAATTCCTTAGGTAACTAACTGTTGTCATACTCACGTAAAATTTTCGCCATCTTTAGCATACTATTGATCATCTGGATAGAGGAAATCATAACGACAAACGATAATGATGCTTGAGTCGCATGGCTGCGACAGGGAAGAACTTTCGACTGACTCGATTCTTTCATGAGTTTCCTTCATCCAATCAGCAACGGTATTTCCGGGTGCCAAATGGTGGGGATCGGCCCATGCAGAAGCGGGGCGGATCTGGATGTGACAGTTCAAGCACCAAGTTCCCTTAATTAGTAACACTTAACCGCCAATACTGCATGTTGGGAGTAATTTGCTGTGTATGATGTGATGCTTCCATTGGCTGAATTTTACATAAAGTTATTTATATATAGCTAAAAGATCTATTTTCAGAGCCTTTTAATCCTATTTTTAAATCAGGGTCAAGTTGTCATAATTAGTAACATAGATTGCGCGGGGTATAGCCGAAAGCTCGGACACCAGGCGGGATGTTCCATGGCCCCACGCGGAAGAATCACTAATGCCAACTTCGAGGAGAATGAAGATGACAAAAGTATAGATTCAAAAGTGGCCGGATTAGGAAATATGCATGGTTCTTACTCGGTACTGCTGTTTGAACTGTTCACACTCGACCGTTTACTATGAATCAGTTTGGTCGTTGCTTGAGACCAATATGTGGCTTCTACAGCTACGTGTCGGTTCTGGCACTCTTATTTCCGTCAACAAAGGCGTACTCGGATACTTCCAATAGCGCAATGTCAGTAGCAATCCAACAATGGACTGAAACAAACGCAACGTCATTGGAATCCCGAAGATATGGTTCATGCACTCCGTATGAGGTTCTCAAACAGGTTCATTCTTTGACCAAGGTAGCCATGCATGCATAGAAGATTCTTT